CCCACGCCGCGGCCGATCATGCAGAACGCAGGCGTTCCCTCTCTAAACCTCACTCTAAGTCCTGGTAATTCCGTGTTCTTTGCGCATGCATGCACGCTATAAATTTCGGTTGCACGATTAGTCAACTCTCTTAACCCGTCGTTGGAAGCTCGGGGTTGCGCGATCAGGAAGGGTCGGCACACGAATGAAGTAAGAGGTGAGTAAAGCAGGAGTTGGGCGACCCGACGGGCTGGTGCCGAATGCACGGGATTGACGTGGGCCACGACGGACTGTGGGCACAGGCGAATCCAACAGGTGCGGGAGGACTAAGTGGGGTGACAACTTCGTGGGTTGGTGCGTGACGACGGACTGTCCGCATCGGAGAGAGAGAGAGAGAGGAGAGAGTTGAGGTTGATAAACGCGGATTTACTGTTCTGTTGTCTCGTCCCCCTCTTCACCTGTGTACATACATTTTGATTGCGGTTCCGGGCGGTTTGCCCGTTCTTATTTCCGTTTCGGCTTTCTGAAATCTGGGCTTGGTTTTTTGCTCACACTTGTCCTTGCTATGCCCGTCCCGATTGCATTATGTGTATGATTATCGAATGAATGGATGTATGAGTGTGTGGATATGTGGACGTTATGCCTGCTTGTATATCTTTTTGCTAAGAACCCATGTCCTTGCTTTCTGTTTGTAACAAATCTTTGCCCACACCTGATGCAGCTATAGACGGGACGAGGATCCGACACTGATAGCGATTTTGTCCTCGTTACGATTTTGTCCTCGTTTTTGCTTATCTCGCGATGGGGGTTGTCATCTGGTTGCATCTTGCATAGTCCGAAGCAATTACACGATCCGAGGTTTGGCTCTGCGAATGTCGCGCGAGAACACGTGTAAATGCGATCCGAGTCGCGCCCTTACACGCATTCCCGCACGTCGATTCGCCCACCCAAAAAGATTTGCGGCGAAACCGTCATCCCGTACGAGCACGTTGAGGCGTCACTGAGTCTGCATGTCCTGCATGTGCTCGTGCGCGGTGACGATATCCCGACCCGAGCTATGCCCTCGGCGATGATACCATGACGCGATCTTGGAGCTCAGACTCGTCCTACGACCCGAACTATTTCACCCCTATGATAAACGAGCTCATAAGGACGCGATACCCCTGTCACACGGAGAATCGGCTATGTCCGCGGGAATTCCACTGCGCCACCTCTAGCGACCCTCGGTGCTCCGATTTCCCTTCTCCCGACCACACCTACTACTTCACCCGCTCGGGATTTGTTGTCATCACTATCAGTCTCCCTCCTTTCCGCCTTCTTCTCCCGTATCATCAACTCAGTGTTGTTCCGTGGCCGGCCATAGCCCCCTATTAGCCCAATACGTTTTGCGTGAACTGCCGACGTAGCGGCAAACAGAGAACTCCGGAATTCGGAAGGCCCAACACAGGTACGCGGCGGCCTGCGCCAAATGACGGCCCTAGACGGCCCAACTTTTCGGGACCATCTCCACCACGGAGGGATCTTCCCGTAACCCGTCGCCCACAGTGTCCCGGCCCTTCCGGACTGTGAGACCCTTGCGCGCGCACCCCTCATTCGCCTAATTGCATTCATACCCTTAAGACTCCCCCACTTCCCCAAAAATCCTGGGCACACCCCTTTTTGCACTTCCAGGCCCACATCCCACTGCGATCAGGAAGTCGCGCTGGGCGTGAGGTTGGGCGTCACAGCGCAATCGACATTCTCAGGCGGTGCTGCACAGCCCTTTTTTTTTTTTTTTTTTTTTTTTTGAAGCCCAGGTTGTTGTAGAGGTGGGATACTAGACCAATGACAGTTATCCACAGTACTCGCCCACTCGGTTGTCCAGCTGAATCCCTCTGAAGACCCCACCCACCCTTCCTCTTATCATTTTTGCCCTGGCGCACCCTCACCCCCCCTCTCCTACCCTAGTGTTAACCACCTGGGACCATCACCCATTGCCATATTGGCAGGGTGACCTGACCAGACATCGGTTGCAAGCACCCGGGCTAGGCAGAGAGACCTACCCGTCTGCTCAGCCCTGGTTGAAGCAGATGCCGTGCAAGCCCGATTGCACAGGGACTTTGGGAGCCAGGTATGAACATGCTACTACCGGTCTTCATGAGGGTGCACAGTGTTACGTTGTATTGCTACTATTGTGTTTTGATGGCAGCCCACCGTCTCTCTCATTTCCTCTCGTTGTGCAAAGGAACATCGGCGCTCTCAGGTGGCGCTACAAAAAAGAAATGGCCAACCCTGCGCCCCTCCCAGACACCCATTTTCTCATTTTTCTTTTCTTCCTGATTCAAACTTCCCAATTGAGAAATGCTGGGTGCCGGCCACAAACATTGCCGCACGACCTCTGCCGGCGACCGCTGGTAGTCCGAACTTCGACCTCTGTCGAGACCATCCCAGCGACCGGTCGGTCTTATGACACGTAAGCTGCAGCCTCCTGGCTGTGAACTCACACTCACACCCGTGTTGGCCAAGGACCCTGCTAATACCGATCAGAGTTATCAAGCTGACTATGGGCCTCGCCACACCACTCTTGAAAGGGGGAATTTTTTCAAGAGCTGTCAGACGTTCTCAAGAGTTGGGTTTTCAAGAGTTTCCGGCCCCTCGCCACACAGCACTCTCGAAAGGGCGATGGTGCTGGACAACCGATGAAAAACGACAGTCGTACAACATTGTTTTTTCCGAATGGCGTCAGGATAACCGATGAAAAACGACAGTCGTACAACATTGTTTTTTCCGAATGGCGTCAGGATAATGGCCTGACAACTCTCGAAAATCGAAAGTCCCTCAAGGGTTCGGCCGAGGACGCTTGAAAACGCACGAGTTGCAGGCTGGGGTTTCCCATCTTTCGAGAGCTGCTCTTGAAAGGGTTTCAAGAGCTGCTCTGACAGCCCTTGACTGCCCCAAGTTTCGAGAGGCTGTGTGGAGATGCACCAACTCTTGAAAACGAGTTTTCAAGAGTGGTGTGGCGAGGCCCTATCACCAGGAAGATTCAGGGCCTAAGTAGCTGCACTACTCCCCCTCCGCCAACCTTTTGAATACATCTGGACTAACATGAGTCCAGATGCATTCAAAAAGTCGGAGCCTGGCGGGTAGCGCAACTAGGCCCTCGTTTCCTTATTTTGAGCATTTGGTGAGTGATGAAGCGAGGCCCTTCGCAGTTGGGAACGGTGAGGGTTGGTACAGGCGGGCACGCCGACCCCGCTCCGTGAGTCCGCACCAAACGCGGTTTTCACTCCAAACACGGTTTTCACTTGATGCATCGAAAAGTGACGCCAAACGAACTGAAGGACACAAAGGAACAAAAGAAGGTCCAGCGTGGACAAGCGCCGCTGGAGTCATCAACACAGGACTCGCCAAAAAAAAAAAAACGTGTTTTAGTGAGCGGTGCTGAGAGGCCCCACAAGTAGCCAGGTTTCTAAACGAAACAAAAGAATGAGGGGTGCATGTTTCACCCTTCTAGCCGAAGGTACACGCCCTTCTCTACATGTGGTGACTGGTGCAGCGAAAGCCGACCTTCCTTGCTACTCGAACGTGGCTTCCCGTGCCAGGGTGTCATCGCCTGCCTTTGGACAGGGTGTCATCGCCCACCTTCTTTGTGTTTTTTTTTGCCTTCCTTTGCTTGCCCTTTTTGACGGTCTCGAGGTATCATCATTGAGCTGACCGGGCCCAAGCAATTCAGAAATATTTAGGTTCTATTTAGGTTTTACTCATCGAGTTCCTTCATGTGGATTTGAACTCCGGTCTGTATTTCAACAGTTCATGGGTGTACCCACTGAGCTAGGCTCTCTGTTTTTTTTTGCCCTTTTCATCGTCATTGGTTCTTTTTTCGTTTCGACAGTGGTGCGGCGACGCCCTAAGAACTGTGGAATGCAGACTCGGGTTCGAACCCCCTCTTCCTTTTTTTTTTTTTTTTTTTTTTTTTTTTTTTTTTTTTTTTTTTNTTTTTTTTTTTGCCTATCCTGGTGGTGGTAAGAGAACCACCGGGATTGAGGCTTTGCCTGGCAGGTCGCTCCATCTATTACTCGGGTTCGAACCCGAACTGGTGCAAGGTCCCACTTGCGCAAATAAGGAGATTTCGGCCGTTGATCTTTGCTATCTACGGTCAGTATCTCTTAATTCGTGCAAGTGGGACCTAGCCCCTGAGCTAGATCGATGAAACCAAATACTTCTACCCTCCCCCAAAAAAAGAAATACAAAAAAACGAAATAAAAAAATTCTAACGAGAGTTTTACCCTTAGCTCAGTTAAAAAAAGGATGCTGGTAGGTAGGTAGTGCGAGGTGAAATTGAGAGAAGCACGATCCGACCAAGTGCCCTTAGCTCAGTTGGTACACCGATGAGCTGTTGAGATGCGAACCTGAGGTCGAACCCGAATGAACTACCGGTAGTTGGGTTGCAACTGAATACTCCTACCGGTAGTTGGGTTGCAACCAATTTACTTGTTGCCGAGCAGTTCGACGATAAGGCCGTCTCGCTTTTAGGAAACGAAACACATCCGTGGACATGCTCACATGAGGGTTAAAATGAATGTATCTAACCGCAATTACGCCTCGTTACAGATGTATCGCGTCATAAATTACGTCTATAGAGGAGAAGTAAAACGGCCCGCAGAGTGTGTACGCTCTCAGGCCGGCGGGCGTTGAGAACCAACGACTTCGACGAACGTGCGAGTGCGCGCTGGGGGGGAGAGATCGCAGCCTCATGGCGCACCAGAATGCGTTTGGTGTACGGTCCTTACCGCCACTACTCAACACTCTGCATGTATCTGAACTGGTTTTCCTTGACCAGATACAGCCTGACTGATCAAAGACATCGAGTGAATCTCGACCACACAATCGTCCCCATGCATCTAGAATGTTTCGCAGCAGATACAGGCCCTATCTCTCGGAGTTGTAGCGGAAGATTCTTTCTCCTTTTGACAAGTTTTGCTGAATAGTGCGGCGCGAGGCGCTGAGCTATTTATATTATCATGGCAGAGCCGATGTAGTCGGTCGGTCCCTTCTGGACGAAGGAGACGTCAGTTACCTTCCCCCCTTCCCCTCCTCCTCCTCCTCCTCCTCCTCCTCCTCCTCCTTTTTGAACCTCTGCTCTTCAAAGTTTGCTATGTAGACAAGACGATATCAACGGCTGAAGAGAGATTGAGGGATTGATTGGCAGTAGTGAGGTGGCACGCTGAGGAGCCGCCACGTGGAGCAGAGGTGTTAAGCAGCCGCCAACGGGCGCGAGTGCGCTGTCGCTGCTGCGTTTGCCGAGCGGAGACAGGTGACAGGCGACATGTTCTCTGAGTTGGCAGGCAGCGCGATGGCGGCGGGCACGTCGGCGGTTTCCCCAAGTGGGAGGGATCTCTACATGCGCGGCGGAAGCGATTCCGCCGCCGCCAGAGCGCCGTACTTGCTCCACGGCTTCGCGGCAGCCACTGCCATGAAGACCCCTCTTCCTCAATCTCTCCTTCAGGCGGGAAGGCCGGGTATGGAAGAAGCTATGATGCCGTTCATTGCCGCGCCTAAGGAAGGGAAAGACGGCAAAGGGCTTACTCCCGCTCAGTCCTTCGCGGTCGACTTGCTGGCTGGCGGTGTCTCCGGTGGCATTTCGAAGACTGCGGTCGCGCCTATCGAGCGTGTAAAGCTTCTGCTCCAGACCCAGGACAGCAACAAGCAGCTCACCGCCGACAAGAGGTATACTGGAATCGTTAATTGTTTCTCGAGGGTGGCGAAGGAGCAAGGCGTGATGTCGTTTTGGAGGGGTAATTTGGCGAATATCATCAGGTATTTCCCCACTCAGGCGCTCAACTTCGCATTCAAAGACACGTACAAGCAGATCTTCTGTCCGTACGACCCGAAGAAGGAGTTTTGGAAGTTTTTTGGCGGGAATCTGGCCTCCGGTGGCGCCGCCGGCGCCACTTCCCTGCTCTTCGTCTACCCACTCGATTTCGCGCGAACTCGGCTTGCGGCTGATGTCGGGAAAGGCGCTGATCGACAGTTCACCGGGCTGGGGAATTGCATCTCCACCATCCATAAGAGCGATGGCCTCAAGGGTTTGTATCAAGGATTCGGTGTCTCGGTGCAGGGTATCATCGTCTACCGAGCCGCGTTCTTCGGAGGCTTCGACACAGCGAAGGGGGTCTTTCTCCAAGACCCGAAGAACGCGCCGGTGTGGCAGAAGTGGGCCATCGCGCAGACGGTAACGGCTGGCGCTGGCATGGTGTCGTATCCGTTTGACACCGTTAGGCGGCGGCTGATGATGCAGTCGGGCTCGGGTGAGCAGATGTACTCTGGAACTATGGACTGCTGGAAGAAGATCATGAAGAACGAGGGACCGAAGGCATTCTTCAAGGGAGCGTGGTCGAATGTCATCCGTGGTGCTGGTGGTGCGCTCGTGCTTGTACTCTACGACGAGATTCAGAAGTCGGTTAAGGGCTAAGTAGTGAAGATAAGAACATCTGCGGAGAGAGAGAGAGAGAGAGAGAGAGAGAGAGAGAGAGAGAGAGAGAGAGAGAGAGAGAGAGAGAGAGAGAGAGAGAGAGGATGCGGAGGGTAAGTCTGATCGACCATTGGTTCTGGGTTTCCCACTGATTTTTCCTTACATTGCGCCTGTCCTCTCCTTTGCGTAGTTACTGACCGACCATTGGTTCTGGGTTTCTCAGTGATTTTTTCTTTCTCCCTTGCGCGAGGTGGTTTTCTCCTTTGCGTAGTTAAGTCTTAGGTAGTACGCCTTGTCAATCTTTCTGTGTGGAATTCGTCTTTTTTTTTTGGTTCCAGATGATTTTTCTTCAAAAGTCTTCTGCATTCACATTTTAGTATTTCTTTTTCTAGCGCACCATGCTGTCCTCTGCAGGAGCAGGTTCTTACGGAGCCTCCCTGACTACTTTTTGGTAGTGTAGGGATCTCCTCCTCTCATTACTGCGCTGTATTTCATAGTTGCTCTATTATTGTCGATGACATGTGCAACTCTCCCTCTCCCACCGTTCGCTTAAAGATCCCCGTTGTGAGGAAAAAACAATGGTGGTGTTTCTAATAGGAGGCGAAGGATGATGATACGTTGAGGGAAAGGAAGAGGGGGAAAGATGAAGCGGCGGACGACGATGAAGCGGAAGGGGCCAAACGAGGATGGAGGGGCTGATGAGGAGGAAGGAGAGGAGGAAGAAGGGGAGGTGGGTTTGTATGCGTTAGCTGTCTCGTCGTCTGAAGGAGGATTTTTGTGTTTATATGCCGGCAAGAGGATTTGTACGCATCAGCTGCATTGTGATTTGGTATGATGAAGAGGATGGGAAGGAGGAGAGGGTGGAGGTGAATTGAAGAGGATGGGAAGGAGGAGAGGGTGGAGGAATTGAGCACAGGGGAGGCGGAGGAGGAGGAAGGGGTAGACGGGAAGGGGGAGGAGGAAGAGGGCGAGCAGCGTGTACATGCTTCAGCTCTGTGTCATCTGAAGGATGAGTTATGAGTTAGTCTTCCGGATTTGTCCGCTTCGGTTGCTTTGTGCGTTTCACGTGTCACGTTGTTTCTGCGTTGTCTTGTGCGAAATGTGATTTGGTCTAGAGCGCACAACGCCGGCTGTGGTGTTGGGCATAGCCAGTCTTTTTGGCATTTCATGAGGTCCGAAGCGAGGCACAGGGTTGTGTTTCCCTCTTTTCGATGTAATGAGCGCTATCTGTCATCTGATTTAAATGTCAGTCTGAGCCGCTCAAGGGCGTACGCAGACTGAAAGTTATTTACTCATCTGTCGCGCACGTAGTAAACCGATATCCTCCTCTTATAGCACGGAACACTCCGCAGCGGCGGGAGGGAGGAGGCTCCTCTTCTTGGTTTTCTATACGGGGAAGATTCTTTAGTGGGATCGAAATTCTGGTTATGAGGCGCAGGTAGTCTGAATAGCGAAGGCTGGCTCTTCGCTGGTTTGTTCTTTCTCCGTTGTCGATGATTTCTGCACCTTGGTTTGTTTTCTTGTTGTTAGATTTTTTCTCCACCGTTCCTTTACGCTCGGGGGTGCTGAGGCGAAGATCGAGAATTTGAGCGAAGCGTATTATAGAGCGATAATTTGAATCGAAGCGTATTATAGAGCGAGAATTTGAAGCGAATAGTAACGTATGCACTCCTTCACATTTGGGTGGTTGGTTGCTGGTCGGCGGCGTCAGGAATATTGACGATTTTTCCAAATTTTCATTCCACTTCGGGGTCGATTTGGATCAGCCTTCGTGATGTGGGAGGGCGAACCTACTCTCTTCCCTGAACACAATGCACCCTCGAACATGAATGTATACAAGCGATATTTCCGGTCTGATGCAGTCTTGGTGAGGCTGTGTTGTGCTTGGGGGAACGCGGTACTTGTGCTTGTAATTTGGGAGGCCGAATCAGTTAGTATCGGGGGCCAAAAAATTCGGTCTTTTGGTAGTTGTGCTCGACGCTCGTGATTTTGGAAGCTGGAGCACGGGGGCTCCCTACTGTCCATTTTTCCGGTCCGATGCGGCCAAAATTAGGGTGCGTTGTGTTCGGGGGAAGTCGGTAGTGTGAATGAATGCAAGATTGGACACAGACAGAGGAGCGTAGGGTGTTAACGTGATTACGAGAAAGACAGAGAATGGCAGAAAGTAACCTCCTTTACGTATATCGTGTCATGTTATGTGATTGCACTTCTTCAGATTATTGGTGTTTGCTAGTGAAGTAGGAGGGGAGGCAGGCAGGCAGCTGCTGGGTCTCGACGTTTTTTGAGGACCAAAGCTTGTTTGCATTATGCATCTGCCTGCCAAATTGGTACAAATTCCTTTCTTAATTCTTTTTCTTAAATTTTAGGAGGTTACTTTCTACCGGTCGACATCATGATGGACTAGTTTAGATGAAAAATCTTTGTACCGGTTGCTACGGCCGTGTTTATTACGAGGGGAGCGGGGGTCTATTTGTTTTCCCGATTGATCTTATGGTCATGGAGGGGGACGGGGTATGTGGTATGAGACGGGGCAGCCGTGAATTCTCTTTCATGGCGTTTATTGTGGCGATGGTCTGAGTGCGTGAGTTGTTCCTTGTCCGTTGTTCGATTGCCGCCCAAATGTTTTTCAAGAAGTTTTGATTCATTTCTTTCATTAAGAATAAAAAGAAACGGAGAAATGCTGAAAGAAAAAAAAAACTCATCCGCCGCGTCTGGTAGAGAAGAATGTATAGCTTATTTTTAAAAAATAGTAAAAACAAAAGTAGAGACGAGCGATGTGGTTTGAGACGGGGCAGCCGTGAATACCGTGAATATCNTAAAAACAAAAGTAGAGACGAGCGATGTGGTTTGAGACGGGGCAGCCGTGAATACCGTGAATATCCTCTTTCATGGCGTTTATTGTGGCGATGGTCTGAGTGCGTGAGTGGTTTCTTGTCCGTTGTTCGATTGCCGCCCAAATGTTTTTCAAGAAGTTTTTAACTAATTTCGAGCATTAAGAATAAAAAAAAACAGAAAATGCTTAAAAAAACAAAAAACTCATGCGCTTCGTCTGCTAGAAAAGAATGTAGCTTGCTTCAAAAAAAATAGTAAAAAATTTAAGTAGAGCGGCTTGAAGGCAGACCTCTTCAGCATCCTTGTGAGAGACAACACTGGCTAGAAAACGGGTCCAGCGTTATTGTAAAAAGAACCAAAAAAATCGTCGCCGTAGGAGTAGTGGTAGGAAGGTAGTGAAAGGCGCAAAAAGAATTTGAGAGAACATAGTGTAGTTTTATAAAAGAGAAAAAAAAATCGTCGTCTGAGGAAAGAAAAACGTCGTCGTTGTGATGGGTTAGTGTCATGCGATTGATTTTTTGTTTTTTTTTTCTTTACTCTCCTTTTAGCACACGATTATTTTTTATTTTTATATTTTTTTCCCCTTTACCGGCTGAACTTATTGTCTTTACTGCCTCCGCTTCACCTTGCTGTTTTTGATAGTGAATGGCTGGACTGTGCGCTCGCTCCGCTGCTCACCACATGCACAAAAGACGAAAACGTGGTGGCGGGTCTTCTAGTGTAAGATGCATTTGCCTTTTGCACGCATTTGCCTTTTGCACATTTGGTGGTCAGGTCGGCGAGGTAAGATTCATTTTCCTTTTTTTCCTCATTCGCTGAGTTGAGCAGCGAGGCCCTATGGCCCTATGTCTTGATTTAGGCTTGTCATCCTTCACTGCGAAGGGTGTTAGTATCGTTCCAATTTCTCCGGACGTCCCCCCTAGGACACCGCGTCTCCCTTTTTTTTCGTTTAAGCAGTTTTTGTATTTTCATTCTCTCTCTCTCTCTCTCTCTCTCTCTCTCTCTCTCTCTCTCTCTCTCTCTCTGTGGTTGTCATTCTCTCTGTGCGCGCGTGTGTTTGTGTGTGTTTGTGTCGTGTGTGTCCGTTTGTCTGGGACGTGCTTGTGTTTTAAATGAGGAACATGAAGGAATAAAGTGTGAACGGAAATCCAAGCAAGTGAGTCTCTCTTCCCCCAGGCCCCTTACGGCCAGAGGGAGTAGGAGAAGACCCACACACCGCAAAACAATGAATGATCGGATGTGTTTATCTATCTGCCAATGACCAACGAACAGTAGTAAATCCATTGAAATGAGGAAGTAATCACTTGGATCAACCGCTCAACTAGCCAACCAATCGAGAATAGATGAGTCAATCAATCATTCACTAGATCAATCCATCAATAAATTGATGTGAAAAGTCCAAACCTCCCCGCGCCCCCGAACCGGAAAAAAAGGGCTGCAGGTCCCAAAATCATTTGGTGTCATTTTTGCACTCTGGCTGGGCCGGTAATGGCCGATGGCTAAAAATTGCAGGAAAATGTTTTGCAGGGTGTGCCAAAATCAGTGCCGAAAGTGGTTTTGGGGCATGCAGCACTTTTTTTCTCGTTTTGGGAGGAAATGGATACAATGTTTTGCAGGGTGTGCCAAAATCAATGCCGAAAGTGGTTTTGGGGCATGCAGCACCTTTTTTCTCGTTTTGGGAGGAAATGGATACATATGTTTCGTTTGGTCAATTAAATTTCATCGACCCATCAATCAAATGTAGTCGATCAACAATCAATCAGAGTAATCAGTCAATCAAATGTAGTCAATCAACAATCAATCAGAGTAATCAGTCTAAAGTAATCAATCAATGTAATCAATCAAAGTAATCAATGAATCAATCACAGAATGAAAGAAACAAATCAGGATAGCCATTTGACCGACTAGCACCAATCAGTAAGTGACGAGTCTATCAATTATTCTACATCCATCAATAAAGCAATCAATTGATTTGATCAATCAATCTACATCCATCAATCAATTGGTACATATAGGCAGGAGGACAAAAAAGGGGAAAATAATATCGAGAAACACGATTGGGGAGGAAGTTCAATCAATTGGTACATAAAGGTAGACGGGACGGAAGGGGGAAAGAACAAAGAACAACAGGATGCGAAAACCGTGAAATCTGAAACTCAGTGAAGCTTTTGTTCGGTGACATCTAGGTGGATTTCACGATTGTTGTGGGAATCTACTTGTATTTGGGTGTGATGGCGGTGTGCGGTGGAACTGGGCCCAGTTGGAACTGGGACACAGCAACCACCCACAGCGCCCTATCCAAGTCCCGTTCCTATTTCAAACAGTCCTAGACTCCCTGTGGCGACACTACCCTTGGAACTGGGCTCATTTGGGTGTGATAGAGATTTGCCTTGTGGCTGGTCCCACTTGGAAGTGGGATAAAAGAAGGGTAGTGTGGCTACAGGGAGTCTACGACTGTTTGAAATGGCAATGGGACTTGGATAGGGGCTCTGTCGGCTGTTGCTGTGGCATTTGCGTGTGATTGCGGTCTGCCTTGGAACTGGGCTCACTTGGGTGTGAGAGCAGTGTGCGTGGAACTGGGCCCAGTTGTAACTGGCACAAGAAGGTGAGTGGGGCCATAGTGAATCTAGGACTGATTGAAATAGCAACGGGACATGGGTAGGGCACTGTGGGCGGTTGCTGTGGCATTTGGGTCTGATTGCGGTCTGCTTTGGAACTGGGCCCAGTTGGAACAGGGACAACAAGAAGGGGAGTGAGGTCACAATCATCTTGGACTGTTTGAAATAGCAACGAAACTGGGATAGGTGCTGTGTGCGGTTGCTGTGGCAACGGAGTTCTAGTTTGGGAACTTTGTGAAAGGAAATGGCGGGCAACCTGGACTCGCCCACAAAAGAAAAAAAGAAGAGAAAATGGCTCACAGATCTTTGTATTATTATTATTATTATTATTATTATTATTATTATTGGCCACAGATCTAATGCGGAGAGTCTGGAGACGTGAAGGGAAAGAGAAGGAATTACTGAAGCCCCGATAATTACTCAAGGGCCTACATTCCTGGCTGGAATTTTGGCATTTTTTTCCCTGAAATTGTCAGGACCTGACGATTTCAGTACAACGAAGGGGCTCGTTAGACACTCCTCAGGTGTGTACATCCCCCGAGGAAACCTATCCTCGGGGATGAAAACGAAAAACAAATGTGAAAACATTTCCTTGGGGAATCCTCCGGGCATCGTTGGGCTAGCCACTTGGTGGCATTCCCCAAGGGACCTCCCGAGGGGTCTAGGAGGTAAAGGATCCGTGGTAATTGGAGCGGAGATGGCACCTGTTGTCGGTATGATATTTTGTTCGGCTGGTCCATTCGAGTTCCATCCGGGCAGCGCACGGGCATCTTGGGTCTTCAACGTTCGGCGCCGAGGAAACTTGTGCCAACGGTAACTGTTGGTGGCCGGCCAATCCCTGCGGAAGTCATTGACCAGTATTCTCCCGTGCAGTGCGTGCCGCCAAAGGGAAAGGGGTCGAATGGTTGGCGAATTTGAACACTTCAGCCAACCCCCCTTTCTCTGATCGTCCATTGTATTCCGTGGTGAAAAACGTTACAAGGCGTTTGTCCCATGCTGCGGTCTGCCGTTTGCAGGCCTCTTTGTCGTCGTTTGGTGGAGCTGTACTGTCGTCGTTTAGCTACTGGCCGTCCCCACTTGCCTTTCATGGCCGATATCTTTCGAAGGCTTCCGCTGCCGCTCCAGGTCATCCTTTTGCTTGTCCTTGTCTTCTTCCACGTCCACATCCTTGGCAGTGTGCCTGGATGTACACGTAAGAGGCGTACACGTAAGAGGCGGTCTGCGAAGGATGTCAACATGGACGGGCGGCAGGCGAACATCAGGTCTTCAGTGGACCACTCCAGAAGCCACCGTGCTGGCCACGGCCCGGCTCGCAGTGCAAGGGCGTACGACGTGTTAGAGTGCGTGTACCTTATGTGGTCCTCTATCGTCTGCTTCCTTCCTCGTCGCCGTTCGGTGGACCTTCACTGTCGTCGTAGAATTACGGCTCTGTAGTACTTGTTGTTGATGGCTGACCTTTATTGAAGGTTGCCACTGCTGTTCCTAGTCACAATGTTGCTTATCGTGGTCCTCCCGTTCCATGTGTGCTTCCTCTATCATTGATGGCCGACCTCTATCGAAGGCCTCCAGCAAAGAAGACGACGGATTGACACCGACTGCAGTTGACATCGACATTGGCAGCGCATCTAGCGGGCGTTCATCCACACTGGATGCAATCACCATCGCCCGAAAGACACGTGGCGACATGCGCAGCTTCTTGCAGAAGTACTCCTCCGTCGCATCATCGCATTGCTTGAGATCCTCCCATGCCTCCCTCGGCCTACTTTTCATCCACCACCTCAGCGTCGCTCGTGGGAGAACACTGCAACCCATGGCGCAGCAAACCTGAACTGCAGCCTCGGTGATGGCCACAGTATCCATCCCTTCGACCGTCTTCCTCCTCTGTGTGCGGATCTGCGCTCTCATTCTTCCATATGTCCTCTCCTGCTGACAACGAAAGAGCATGGCCGTCAGGGCCGCCGCCACGGCCGTCTTCTCGACTGTCGTCAACTTCGCACGTCCGGCCTTAGGAATCACCAAACAGCAATCTCAGCGTTAGAAGATGTATGAATGGGACGCTGGACCCGGTTTCCAGCAGGCGCTGATCCCCACCAATAGATGGAGCAGCCCGAAAGGTAAGCCCTCAATTCTGACGGTTCTCCCATTGCCGCCAGGATAGAGGGATATCACAAGGGCTATTTTCGCAAAAAAGAAACAAAGAACAAAAAAAAAACCTTCCTTTTCGCCGTCGCTGCCGCCCTCCATTGGCACGTGTGTTGCGATGCTCATGAACCAAGAAAATACAACAGCCTACCAACTCGCCACAACCACAGTAACCT